GGGGGGGTCCAAATTTCTACCCCTAAACACTTCAACACTCCTTTCAGTTCGTGTTTCACAAAAAGAAAGATTTGATTAGATTTTTTTTATCACTTTCGAAAAGAAAAAAAATAATTTCTACATACCAATACGACGACGACAAAAATATCCAAATCTAAGTTTTGTAACATTTCGAAGTTGAATAGTATTTAGATTTCGTTGTCGCATTTCGTATGGTTCTGGCAACCATTGCAGAATCTCTGATTGATGGTGAAAACGTTCTATAAAAAAAACAAATTTATTCATTTTAAATCAAAAATATTTAGCTTTGTTTCTATGATACTTTATTAAAAAAAAACAAATATCGATTGAATCAAAACAAACTCTGTTTAATTACTTTGTTGAGTTGAGTAAAATAACCCAACATAAAAAAATATCAATGTTCTTTGAAGACATTTATTAGAATCGTGTAATAGAGTAGATTACATGTCAGATTGATATAGTCTAAACATGGATCAAAGTACAAAGTCATCGTTTCGAATCAGATTCAAAAAGAATGTTATACTTGCTATTTGGACACATCTAATCGAAATATTATACTATTTGGATGAAACTATGATGTTTCTATTTCTGGAAAAAGTTGTTTTTAGATTTTGATATTCAAGCTAGATTTATCATTGTCGAAAACCGTCAAAACTAATAATATAACCCTTTTTTTTGGTACATACAGTTTGAAAATGTATGTTATTTTTGAGGAAAAATTCAATGTATTTGTCGTTGAATATATCAATCGAATTTCCATTCAATTATCCGTGTTTATAGAGCTTTTAATTCTAAGCATTTTGATAAAAAGAAATTTTCAAAAAGGTTTTGTTTTGATGGAGATAGACTCAGATCATTATAAACTTTGAAGAAAGCTAGCAGTTACAATTTGTCAAAATTACGTAAAAATATCCATTTTCAGGGTTTTGGTTTTTCGCTGCCTATAGTATTTTGAGTGTGTTTCCATCAAAACAAAAGCTTTTTGAAAATTTCTTTTTATCAAAATGTTTAGAATGAAAAGTTCTACAAACACGGATAATGTTATCATTCTGCAACATGATACATTGAATTGTTCCTAAAAAATGGCATAGATCTTCAAACTTTATGTAACAGAAAAAAAAGCTTTTGATTATCAGCTCTGACAGTTTTCGGCAATGATACATTTAACTAGAAGATTAGATATTTTATTTGAATTCCCCAAAACTTATTCGAGTTTTCTTTATATTTTTGAATGTTGAATTTTCCTAGTTTCCTATTAGCCTAATACAGGTAATGGAAATATAAAGAAGTTGACCCAACTAAAATAATCCCTGATAAGAAAGTTCTAACAATCACAACAACTATAATATAAAACTTTCTTCGTGTGATCCACAAAGTTTGTAAAACATCAATATCTCTAAAATTCAATACTCGTTGAGTTGATGCAGATATTAAAGAAGTCAATTCTTAAAACGGATCTGATCCTTTCATATCTTTCAGTTCAAATCTTAACTCTGACATTCGTACCGGCCACATGTGAAATAAATATCGCACATTTTTCATTCCAATCGAAAGAATTCATCAAAGACCACAAATATTGTTTTATTCATGCACAATAATTTCATGCTTCGTTTACACTTTTTCATTATTCCAGACTATTACTTTATCCACTGACCAATAAATATGAAAATCTACCTAGAACGACCAAACATTTTTATTCTCTTCATCATGCTTCCATGATATAAGCCTACTATCCATGAACAAAACTACAAAAACAATCTAGCGCAAACTTCCAAATATTCGATCAGAAAATACCTTTCTCCCAATTTTAAGTAGACGTACACATACCCTCAATGCTCTCAGTAAAGATTGAATTTATATTTCAATAACCCAAATTTCTACACCCCTATTCAGGCAAACAAGTAAATTACAATTCATGTCCACGAGCTCCACTCGCACTCTCCCTGGCTTGATGATTTCTGAATGTGCGTAGAGTCCTATACGGTACGATATTTTTGTAACCTGTTCTCTAAAAGTTTTGGTAATCTAGCTCTGCCATACCCTGAAGAATTTTCACCTTAACCTGTTCTATACTACCTTGCACCTTTTTCTCATAATCTGTAACCTTCCTTACTTTGTAATTAAAGAAATTTTCTTCCATAATTTAATCTAAGTTCTTTTTCTATGAATTCAGTTGCCATGTTATCACTATCGACGAAGAGTAACTAGAAATAAATCGGATACACCAGAACTTATCGATGTGGAATCCATTCGAAGTCAGTATATATGTATTTAGGACACAACAAGGCCTGATAAAACTGTTTTTGCTCGAAAAACACCTCTCGATTTGGTAATATCTCTATTACAGACCAGACAGGAAGAGCTTTAGTTCGGCTTCTATATAGATTAATCGATGATTTTGCTTGTCTGTGAAGATCTGGAATTATAGCTATTTTCGGTGTTCAATCGGTCAATGCATTAACCGCCGATCCATTATTTTGTTGGTTCTGAGATAAATCTATGCTTTTTGGAACCTTCTAAACATGTTGCCGATACCATTTCTATCGCAGGTTAACAGGTTCTGACCTCCATAATCTGCAACTTAACCTGTAAAAAGACTTATAACCGGGCTCTGCCCTGCTCTGCGATTCTCGTAACCTGCTCTGACAAGGCACTGTATGGCAGAGGTCTAGTCTCGTGGTACTTTTATCTGGCGAAATGCTCTCTAAGTATGTAAAGACGTGTGGGTGTGGGTGTGGGTGGGTGTGAGTGTGGGTGGGGTGTGGGTGTGGGGTGTGGGTGGTGTGGGGGTGGGGGTGGGGATGGGGGTGAGGGTGGGTGTGTGTGGGTTACGGTGTGGATCTGAGCATTCTCTTTAGTTACACTCACACCCACACTTACACCCACACCCACACTTGCACCCACACCCACACCCACACCCACACCCACACCCACCCACACCCTCATAATCGATTTCATATGTTTTTCAAAACAAGTAACTAACCCCTTGAACTCGACATTGAAATTCATGTACTATTGCAATATCCATATCATATGTTAGGATTGCTCAGGGACATGTTCCGCTTGAGATCCTGCGCTGGAATCTTCCTTCGTAATAAGAACATATCTCGATTGTATTAACTGCAGTGATTTCGACTAGACCGACATTACTGTGTATTTAAGTTCTATGTTGTAGTAAACTCACAAGATAGTTATCTCGTATGATAACAAAGGGTAGCATGACTAAATAGATGGTACTGGCAATGCATCAATCATGAATCATATTGCTGTCCGCCGGGACACATGTTTCAACATTTTGTGACGCGATTTTCTAAATTCTGTTACAACAATGCAAAGACACAAGAAGAAAAAGAACGTGACACATATCGTGGGTGCAGCGTCGTTGTTTTTTTTCGTTAACATAGTTGTGAGTAAAGGTGAATACATCGTTGCGAGCAGGCCATGTGGCTCATATTACTTTCTATTATTCTTCTTTTTTTGTATGGGATATATTTGAAGTTAAAATACTTTACATTCTACGGTCCATTGCCTGGTTTATCTCCTCAATTTTTGTTCGGAAATTTACTTCAAACTGGATTGTTGACAGGGAATTCTTTTCCTCAAATATATACGTCGCTTAAAAATCGATTTGGTGATATTTATCAAGTTCAATTCGGATTTGTACATGCTAAAGTCATCGGTAATATCGATGATATACAACATATTTTTACTCATAGAAATGTTTATGATCAAGGTGATTGGTTCGTAGAACTATATGGAGCTATTTTGCCTAGTGCTCTTATTACGCTTAAAGGTCAGTTTCTATTCTTGAAAAGTACTACAATATCATGTCTAAATTTCTACTTAGGTACCAAATACAAACGACATGGTGCAGTTAGTATGTCTTTATTTCGCCGAAGCAGAATTGTTTCAAATTTCGATACTATTCTTGATTGTACAGATAAATTATTGGATAATTGGCGTTCATTTTCTGTTCATCATCTGCATCTCGATATTGTACTGCAATGTCAAAATTTATTACTTCAAATTTTTGGATTGATTGCTTTTGACTACGATTTTGAAACACTTAATGGAAGAAATAGTAATGAGCTGGCACAGGCACTTCGAAATTTCTTTAGTACAATTGAAATAGCTTTATATTTACCAAATACATTGTTTAGAATTTTTCTAAAATTGAGTCCTCAATATCAACGACAACGTGCAATCATTGAACGATATATATATCGAATGATCGAACAAGAATTCAATGAAAGTCCTGAATCACGAGCTCAACGAAAGAAAACATCATTAATTGCTTCACTTGTGGATTCATTACAAATAGACGAAGAAGCTGAAGCAAAGAAAAGCGAAGAACTGAAAAAGGGTAAGACTTTCGCGTGAGATATAATTTCTGACGATTAGCAAATACCGAACGACTTAAGTGAAAACTGTCCGATAGTTCCATAAACAGCCTAGAAATGAATTAAATACTATCTTTGATTCATAGGTCTATCACGAAGTGAGGTGTTTGATGAAATGCTAATGTTTCTAATCGCTGGTTTCGAAACGACTTCTACTGCATTGGCATGGTCGATACATTTGCTAAGCAAATATCCACATGTTCAAGAAAAAATCAAAGCCGAATTAATTAATAATAGTGTTACTCAGCTGTTAACTCCAGAACGTCTCCAATCGCTAATCTATTTGGATTGTGTTATCAAAGAAATACTTCGCTATTCTTCACCTTTCGATTCAACAGTACGAACATTGGTTGCAGATGATCGTTTACCACATAGTGGTGTTCAATTGTATAAAGGTGATCAAGTGATCATTCCATTTTCAATTCTGGCACTTGATAGTCGATATTGGTCGATTGATCCTAATTTATTCTACCCAGAAAGATTTTTAGGCGAAGATAAAAATCATCATCCATATGTATTTCTGCCGTTTGGCAGTGGGCATCGTCAGTGTATTGGACAAGATTTAGCTAGATTCGAATTGAAAGTTATTCTAGCTAGACTTATGCAATATGTGACATTTGGCGATGGAGGTCCTGAAGTGAATGCCGGTGGTCATTTGCAAAAAATGACGATCATGCCCAAATATGTTGGTATCACTATTAAATTCGATGCCTAGATTATTCTAAAACGTATACATTCGACCTGAACAAAAGTACTCGTCGAGAGAAACGTTTTCATTTTAGCGTTTCTTTGATAACAAGTGATAGCTTATAATTCCTCTATTTTCATTTTTTTTTTGTCGAATAAAATATTATGCATCACTTCTCGGCACGAAGGTGGGAGTGGGTGTGGGGTGTGGATGTGGACATGAACAGGAGCCAGAGTAACACCCACACCCTCAAGATTCGTCCATTTATTACTCAAGTTAGTATTTAAGTAGAAAAATAAAAGTGATAGTATAGTTTCTGCAAATCTTAACAATCGAACATATGTCGGAAAAAAATTATATAAATAGGAATATATTTCTAATGATGATGAACTTTTTGTAGAAGTAATCAAATGTATGACAAATAAAGTTATCTGTCTCAATAAATGAATATTTAATGTTAGATAAAATATTGAGGTACATATTCACAATTATAACATATATTCTGTCATTACTTCCTTACAATCGATTATTCTAGAGAGAAAAGATTAAGATAGATGATTAAAAAGATTGTGACACAATTAATATCGGTACATGAATAATTCTTAATTTTCGTACGATCAGATAGACAAACTGTTTCAAAAATGATCAGTTTTTACTGTTCAATTTGACAATAAGTTTCACAATTAATTAATAAAACGTCTCTTTGAAGGAACATCTAATCGTGAAAAATGAAGAATAAGCAAACAACAATTTAGATTTATTTGAAGTTGGCATATTTTTTAGATCATGACAATGCAACTAAATTTTCTAGCACTTGATTCATTCTGTTTTTCTGTTGTTTCAAGTTATCTCTTTTTTATAATTATATTGAACAAAATTAAACTGGACATTGTTTTTGCATGGCATGAAATGAAATACAAGTTTATCATGTGTCGAGCTCAGTTGGTATTAAACTATTGAAAAAACTATCGCGTCTGATTTGGACTAGAAAAAGTTCTATTTATGAAGAATTCTTCTGTCCGCTGAGATATCTTTTCATCCAAAAATAATAAAAAACCAAATGTATGAAGAAATGAATGAATGTTTTGAAAAAAACTTAGGTGAACGTAAATAACAAGAAACGATATTTATATTGTCATGTTTAGTTACTTTAACTATAATCAATGAAAGTGAACTTTTATAAATACACAATTTCGAACTATATCAACTGATTAGATCTTCGAGTAGAATGACATTAAGAATGAATGAAAGTATGTAATTATTATTCATTGAACTTGATCACTTATTTATTTTTTCATTGATCATCAAGTTTGCGAAGATCAGTGAGAAATATATTGGAAAAAATATTTACCTATATTAATTCTTATAGAAGAAACATTAGGACATAATTCATTAAATTCTTTCAGAAATAAAGAAAATGATGGATGAATATTCTGAATATGTGTGACATCAGACCAATCATATATACATTGACGATTACTTAATAAACAAGAAAATCATTTCCTAACAAAAATTTTCATAATTAAAGAAAAAAATTTCTTACAATAAAACAATAGAATGTTGAAGTTTCTTAAGATTAGAAGAGAATATATGTTGAAATAAGGTATTTTCATCATAAAAACATTGAACATTTGTCCATTGATGATCAATAAAAAAAGAATTTATTTTAAAAGAATTAACTATTTTCGAAATATTATTTAATGGCGATTGACGTTCTGCACAAATATAAAAATAAAAATATTTTAAATTAATTATTTGATCAGGTAAACAATATTGACGAATAAAATTTGCATCAATAACAGATTTTAACATTAATTGATCTGTTTTCCATATACGTATACTATGTAAATGAATCTCTAGTTTTGTAATGTGATTTATATTATTCAGAAGCCATTTTAAATAAGTAAATTCAAAATCAGTATGAACACAACTTTTCAATGTAAAGCTGTCCAATCTTGGTACCTATTTTACAAATAATTAATGACAATATCTTTAATGTCCAACTAAATCATCGAAACGCATCACTTTATTTATGCAATGCTTTTCTCTTAGAGATCACTTAAAAAGCTCTGTTTTGTTAATTTAACATTCGATTTACCCTTACTTATATCGAAATTGACTATCTGATTAATCAGTCGAGTTGACATACAAACGTTCTTTTTTTATTTTTCTTTTGTTTACATTTTTTTTAATTCTCAATTTAGTGTAACTAGAAATTCACTAAGAAAGAAATCGAGTTTTTTATCATTGGCAAAAAATTGATAGATTTATAGAACAATCACTTCTTAACAAAATCGAAAAAAGTCGATTTTTATTATGAAAAGATAATTCTAATGATAAACTTGTTAATGCAGATCTTAAAAAACTCAAATATCTCGTTCATCTTTATGAAAACTAATATAAAAAAAACTATTTCTAACAGACGATGGTTCAACGAAGGAAAAGCACAATTTCACTTTTACTTCATCGATGTCACAATTATCTTTTATTGAACTTTCATAGATCTTTCAACAGTACCAGGCACTTTATATATGAATTGGATGAAATATTACTTTATTTTTTGCCTTTCAACAGATGCAAATCTATCAGGATCGATTAGAATCTAAATAAACTAATTAACAAATTGAAAAATATGACCCAAGAATTTCTTCTTATATGGTTTTCTACTTAAGTATGTACGAGTTGTAGAAAAGTTACCAACGATTGATTTTTTTTCTCCCACAAGAAACTCAAATATTATAGGCAGTCTTCTATCAAAAACTGTTTACTTTTGTAGGCTCAAATTTAAATAATAAATACATAAGAATTCCAGGATCTATTGGAATCTGAGAGGATCCAAAAATATTCATTTCAATCCACTATGAGTTCTGAAATCTCAATTCGTTTATTTCTCTCTTCTATTGATAATAAGAACGTACTAGAAAATATATTATTTAACTAAAGTTAAATCATGTTCTATACTTGACCGTCCGTTGATGAGATGTTTCAACATTTTTCTTTATCTTTTTTCCGCTTATCAATACAATGAATTACTAGCGAATGAATTTTATCATCTTTTGACGATTAATTGATGAAATATGCAAAAATCTTTTCAAACTTCTACTCTTTTCGTACTGACATCGTTTAACAATCATGAACTTTTCATATTACTCGTTTATGATGTCACCAAAGAGAATCGTCACTTTCCTTACAAAACTACTTAGTTTAATAACAAACTTGTTGTCTCGATTGGACTTACATCATCCATAGTACCACCCTTTGTGCATTGTTCAAATGCAAAAAAAAGCTTAATATGAACTAACATTTACGTATGAGATAAAATTTAACTAAAGAGTTTTACAAAGAACAAACAAGTAGAATAATCTAATATACATCTTACTTTATTAAACCAATTTCCATTTGATAGTTGCGATATTTGAATATTTAAAGCAAGACAATACTTATCGATCAATGAATTGCGAAAATAAACTGATAGTTGTTCGAGATTGGGCACATATTCAATGATATGTTCAAGAAAACAGGCATAATTGAGATGAATAAACAAACGGCGTAGAGCTATACAGTAAGATTGAGATTCATTAGAAATTTTGTTTGCTAAAAGATAATCATGTGAATTTAAGCTTTGATGAATTTCATAAGACAAATTGGCTATATCGAGCTGAAGAGAAGTTAATTGACATTGATTAGAAAATATTTGACATAACATTTGTTTAAACATACTTTTTATATTTTCTATTTAATCATAAAAGAAAAAAAACAAAAGTTATTCGTATCATTAGAACATTTCAAATATAATCTTTTTATTCACTTAATAGGAATAGATTGCCAATGATACTGTTTTCTATTTGTAAATGCTACCAAAACACAAAAATAGAAAAGTAATACAACAAATCTGTTTCTCCTTTGTATTAATCATAAAGCAGATAATTCTTTGTAGAAATATGCAAATAGATATTATAATTAGCAAAGAAATTAATGATTAATATGTGCGATATAAGAGTATGAGGTTGTAGGGCCATCCATCTATATACATAATATCGGGTGTCTGTATGTCTGTTACCGGATGATAAGTTAAACGTCTGAGGTCATATGTTAAAGGAGAAAACAGCCGTGCAGTATGCACGGGGCTTCGCTAGTAATGGATATTTACTACAAAAGAGAAAATTTATATAGATAAGTGAACGAAGTCTTTGAATTTGTTTGTATAGCTATTAGTGTCAAAATAACAGAAATCGGATAATATATTCTAGCAAACTGAAATAATAATAAAAATAGTAAATTATCTTTTGTAAAATACGAACTAGAAGGGGTGTTGAAGTATAGGGTTAAAAATTTGAACTCAACCTTCTCCTTTCACAGATCCTGATAGACACCTTAGCAACGTCCTCCTCCGATCAAGATCATGTCAGACATCATAGCAACGCTCTATTACAGACTGGGACAACCATAATCTCAAAAGTGGAACTTATTGAATATTTTATAAATTACTAAAAGGGAAACCCAGGAGCTTATAGGCAAACAAACAACTTTTAGGAAAATATTGATTGATTATGAACTGATAATTGGAAGAGAGTATCGAATTTATACTCAAGTGACTAAAATTGATTTGCTATACATGCTTTTCTATTGGTAACAGTTATTTCGTGTATCACATAGTAATTCCTACAGAAATTGCTCAAACAGCTTTTTCGTAATTTAGTGAAATCTATTTTTAAACAAGATCAAAATAATTATTATTCAACATATAAATCATTTTAAGTAATCTATTATCTTTTTATACACCCAACTAGATCTACCAATGACATTTTAGAATAAGCGACTTTTGACGATGATCGATTTTGCTTTCTTCATAAAGATAGTTGATATCATCAAAACAATTGCTGAACATATGTTTTTCATATAATTATGCATTCAATAAGCACCTGATAGTTGATGTTTTATTCAAGTTACTGCTTTTAAGACAATGATGCGCAACTCCAATATGACCAACACCAGCTGTCGGAATGGGTCACACTACTGCTTTCGGA